TCCTTTTCTTGATTGAGCGATCCTAGATATGGCTTGGCTGACACCAATCCTTCTTCCAACTTGAGGATAATCACTTTTGTCTCGGCCAAAGACTTTTCCATCTTTTCGATATGCTTTGCCTACTCCTTAATTCACTCGTCCAAGCTCTTAGCCATGTCAGCTCCAATCGTGCCAAACTCATTCTACTTGAGGTATGCCTTTGCCAAATTTGACAGATGTGTACGAATGGCGTTAACGTCAAAGTTTATACTTTTAGCATCATTAATGGCATCCCTACACAAATAGAAGAAACCCTCGCTCACTTTAGCAAAAGGAGTTACCTCCATATGTCACATGGTCGCACAAAGGATTAGGAAGGTGTCTTCGACCACCACTTTCTTGGCTTTGTTGCGCGTTGTCAGATTTGGAAAGATGTCTAACAGATGGCGTGCCCACGGCTCCAACATTGTGGGAATTGCGAACTTACCCACTACTCATAAGCCACCCATGGGCACTAAGCCGAATCGAGCCAATGAGACATCTCTATCCTTGTTCATCTCATCAAGATTTTTTAACAACCTCATGGTCGAGTCCTCGATCTCACCTGACTTAGCTGTTGTCGAGGATGGCTGACCATAATGCTCGATCTCATCGGGGTTGGCAGCCTTCTTTGTTGAGCTCATGGCTGGCGTGCCAACATCTACTTTGCTTTTATTAGAAATGGATTTCTTCGTAGCATCACCCATATCTGATTCAAATTCTTCAAGGGCAGCCCTGTTTATGTCAATGCTGCCTTGGAAACCTACGTCTTTACCTCTCTGTTCAGAACCATTCTCACTTTTAGACAAGGCATCATCAAAACTTGATCTGTCATTATTGCTTTCATTGGAATTAGAGCTAATTACCTCGGTGACCTTCTTCCCTTTTTCTCTACTAACACCGACTACAGCCTTGGCCTTACCTTTTTCAACACCTGGTGAAGTGAATGGGGCCATGATTGGTCAACAAAGAAATATGCTATTTGACCAAGTAGGGCACTGAAACCCAAACTATTTCATTGAATGGTTTTAAGTA